TCTTGGGTTTCGCCGTTGTGGTACAGTGGGTGAAGCCACCGCCTGCAACGCCGACATCCTACAGGAGCGCTGGGACAGTCTCAGCTTCTCCACTTCTGATCCAGCTTCCTGCTGGTGTGCCGGGAGAGAGAGCCCTGGGGGACAGTCCACATGGCTGTGCTCCTGCTACCCCCAGAGGAGACCAGGTGTGGTTACTGACTCCTGCTCCCACTGCTGTGGCCACCTGGGGAGTGAACCACAAGACAGACCTGTCTCTCCCATCCCCTCCTCTCTGTGACCCTGCTTCTACAATGCATGAATCGGACCTGGAGAGAATGAATAAAAACAACTTCTTCTCTGTCTCTGCTGTTCAAATACACGCGTTTTTAAAATGAAGAAACAAATAACACATAACTAAATACTACTCCTAAAATCTTTTCTTAGGTGATCTGACAAAGAAATACAAATTGTTGGTGAGGATAATGATGATAAAACACTACTCTGTATCTGTCTCCCTTTCCCCTCCATGAAACCAAAAAGATTTAGCACTTGATGAGCATCTTGTAAGTACAAGGAGTTGTAATTCACTCTCCTCCTGAATTTGAGAATAATCCCATGTAATAGACACTATGTGTACTTTGTTGCAGACAAAGTAAGTCACATCCAGAGAATAAGTACTTGCTTTACAAACACACTAGCAGCAATAAATGTGGAACTTTTAAAATTTCTCTTTAAAAGATTTATTTATTTTTATTTGAAAGGTATATTTCCAGAAAGAAGACAAGGCAGAGAGATTTAAAAATCTTCCAACCATTGGCACACTAACCAAATGGCTGCAATGGCCAGACCTGAGCCCATCCAAAGCCAGGAGCCAGCAGCCAAGAGCCTCTTCCAGGGCTCCCACACAGATACAGGGTCTCAACGACCTGGACCATCCTCTACTGCTTTCCTAGGCACACTGGCAAGGAGCTGAATTGAAAGCAGAACAGCGAGAAAAACAAACCAGTGCTTATATGCGACGCAAGTGCCTGCAGGAAGATTAGCCAACTGAGCCATCGTGCTGAACCCAAGCTTTATTTCACCTATTCCATTACTAATCATATCAAATCCAAATCCTTCTTTTAAAATCTGAAAGTGGAAGGCCCTGTCACCCAATGTCTCTTCCACACCCCTTCCTTGAGCTCAATCTTGGTTTTCACAGTGTCCACAGATGATGTGGCCATTCCAGGTCCCTTTCTGGGTCTCCTTGGAAACTTCTCCAGTGACTGTCATACTGTGTCTCTGCTTATTCTGTTACCAATGTCTATTACTTTAGGAATCGGGGAGCAGTTGACCCCAGGTAAGAGCTTGTTCTGACTCATCTCACCCTGGCCCACCTCCGCATGCACACAGCATCAGCACTCCGTGATCTTGGAGTGCTTGCTCATTATGTGCAGACTTCTTCGCTAGATCAATCCCTGGAGGGCAGAAATGGAGTTCTCGGCCTCCTTGGTTCTCCCTGCAGCATTCTCTATCGTGCTATGCAGTTAGCAAGCACATCAGGAATGTATATTGAAGGTTGCATGAAATCTTAAAAATGTTTGTTGTTTCTATGAAAACTAAAGTAATAAAATCGCAGAGCTGTCCCCATCAAGAAAAAGAATACACGGTGACAAAACCAGCCATCCAAAGTGTTGCAAACCCCCATCGTCTGCTTGATATGAATAATGTTTCATCATTAGGGGACTTCTTAAAAGGAAAATTATGGTTCCTCAGTTGCTGCCAGAGCCTAGATTCAATCAATTTTTTCTTTTTTTCCTTTTTTTCTTTCTTTTTCTTTTTTTAGTCGAGTGGTAGTGATGAAAGGAACTGGGATTTGGCCACGCCTACACCAGCAAGACAAGCATCTGAGAAATGGCTGTGCCAGCATCTTCTCAGAACTTAGCTAACACGGGAAACAGAAACCCCCAAATCATGCATGTCAGCATTTTGAGGCTATAATTTCTATTTCAATGCTAGAATACCACACAGAAATGGTCATTCTATTATGGTAGTTACAGCTGGAGGAAAACATGTTCTTAACTTTCAGTTCTCAGATGTACAGGTTAGAACTTAGTTCTCCCTGTTACTAAAACAATTAAAGGTCATGGGCAAAATCCTTTCAATACGAGGACTCTCTAATGGACAAAACAACACCTGACTTTTAAAATCATGTTCCTGAGACAGAGAATGAGAAGATAATCTTTCAAGTCATTCGCAAGGAATGGATAGCTTTCTATTTTAAACTTTTAATGAATTCACTAAATACTGAGGTCTTGGATCTTCATTAAAGTTGATGAACAATTTAATTCTTAGTAATCTAATCATTTGAATGCATCAAGCAGCACAAGTTTTGATTACAGAAATTAACAAGGAAAATGAGCCATTTTTTCCACAGAACAACAGCAGTTTGCCAAGCCATTGGGGTAGACTTTCAGCCTATCAGCTCAGACTAGCATGGCGTATCTGGGTTCAGTTCTTGGCTCTGGTTTCCTGCTAGTGCAGACCACAGCGATGAGCCAGATGATCAAGTCCTTGCTGCCGACACGGGAGACCTGAACTGCGTGCCAGCTCCCAGCTTCAACCTCAGCACAGTGCCAGCACTGCGGACATCTAGGCTGCCAATCAGCAGAGGAATCATGCTCGGTCTTTCTCCCTCTTTCTTTCTGTCTCTCACATATATGGCATTTAAATGATTTTTAAAAGCTATTGACTGGGGCCAGAGTGCTAGTCTGATGGCTACAGTAATCACCCTGTAAGCCCAGGATCCCGTATGAGTGCCAGTTCATATCCTGGCGGTGTCACTTCCCATCTAGCTCCCTGCTTGTGGCCTGGAAAAAGCAATGGAGGATGGCCCAAAGCTTTGCGACCCTACATCCACTTGGGAGACCAGAAAGAGGTTTCCAGCTCCTGGCTACAGATCAGCTTAGCTCAAGCCATTGCGGCCACTTGAGAAGTGAATCAGCAGAGAGAAGATCTTTCTCCATCTGCTTCTTTCTTTGTATATCTGCTTTTCCAATAAAAATAAATTAATCTTTTTTTAAAAAGCCATTGACTGGAAAGTGAACTAGGAAAAAGTATCATGCGCATAAGAACCACAGGGGTTTCCATCCTAACTTGCCATGTTTTCGATGATGCCTATTGAGCCTCTCCGCCTCGTTTTAGACAAGATTCTCCCCCGTTGTTTGTTTTTGCTACAAAGGTTTACTTTTCAAGAGGTTACTTCGAGCTACTTATAGTGTAAACAGTCCATAGGCTGTGCAACTATATTTCATTTTCTTGAGCAGCAAACGACATGTCAAATATCTATAAAATTAGGAGCAACCCCTATTTGTCACATAATAAAATTAATCATGCTGGCCACACATGAGCCACACATTATGTCAAGCACTTTAGTTCATTTAACTCTGTTAATAAGCTAAGGGAATTATGTTAGTACTTGATTATTCTCATTTTCCAGAGGAGGAAAGCAGGGCTTAAGGAGATTAACTTGCCAAAACACTGTTCCCACTGCGTCTCACAGGCAAATCCTGAAACCTTCCCGTTCTCTCAACATAGAGCAGCCTAGAAGACTGCTTTATGTTCATTCACTCATTCATTCAAAAACCGTTCCTGAGATGCTTCCTAAGTGCCAGGCTTTTTTCTGGGTATGGGATAGTGGCAGAAATAGGAAAATCCCAGCTATCAGAGTGATACATTTTTTTTCCTTTTTTACCCCCCCACCCTGCCCTTCTATTTTATTTTTACTTCTATGGTACAATTTCATAGGCTCTGGGATTTCCCCTAACTCCTGACAGAAACTGTCAACAAGATAAAATGTATAATAATGAGTCCAGTGGTGAGTGCTATGGAGACCATGGCAGCTTAGCACGATGGACAGAGCAATGGAGCTGGCTGTTAGTAGGCAAGGCACAGGTTTATAAAACTGGCAGGCCCCGGGCTAGTCCTCCCCTTGCAAGTGCTTGCATCCCATATAGGTGCTAGTTCAAGTCCCGGCTGCTCCACTTCCCATCCAGCTCCCTGCCTGTGGCCCGGGAAAGCAGTCAAGGACAGTCCAAAGCCTAGGGACCCTGTACCCACATGGAAGACCCAGAGGAGGCCCCTGGCTCCTGGCTTCAGATTGGCTTAGCTCTGGGCATTGTGGCCATTTGAAGAGTAGGCCAGGGCCCAGCGCGGTGGCGCAGTGGTTAAGGTCCTTGCCTTGCACACCCCGGGATCCCATATGGGCCGGTTCTATCTCGGCAGCCCCGCTTCCCTTCCAGCTCCCTGCCTGTGGCCCGGGAAAGCAGTCGAGGATGGCCCGAGGCTTTGGGACTCTGCGCCCGCGTGGGAGACCCAGAAGAGGCTACTGGCTTCGGATCGGCAGAGCATCGGCCGTTGCGCTCACTTGGGGAGTGAATCATTGGACGGAAGATCTTCCTCTCTGTGATCATTCCTAATTCTGGTATGTTGTTATTTCTACCTGTCTTGCACATTCATCTGATTGTCAATATGACTTAAATGAAGAAAGAAAAGGCCTTTATACATTTCTACCATTTTCAGTGTCAGACCTAGGACAGCTCAGTGTCTCAGAAAGAAAATTTTTTACTCTTCAATGATTTGGACATTAAAGGCCACCCACCAATCAAAGGAGACTCCTGAAAATAACTCTCAAGCCATTTGGGACACATGACATCAACAACAAGCTAATCCTGTCTCCGACACAGACATTCAAAAAGAGTGACGCCGAACACAACATTTTAGGTCACATTCCATACAAACATAACTCAGATGCACATGTCCCACTGACATTACAGTGTGAAGCTATGGTGAGTATAATTCTCTTTACAATTCTGACTACCATGTACATTTTCAAAACAACTGACATGCCAATCCAGAACATTCCACCAACAATCAAATCTGTATAATGATTGTTACTGCCAATACAAAGCCTTAAGAACCCAGTCACACGCTTCCACTTTCAGAATCACAAACAACACCAACAGCATCCCTGTCAGTCTTACCTCTGCGGCCAAGTAGTTTCCAGTTGCCAGATGCTTAAATCTGAACAGGCTGTTCCACTGTCCTGCACCTCCACGGCATGGGTCATGATGAACCACCTACAGACAAGGAGAGCAAGAATGGTCATGGCACAGTACCACCGGTGCCCACATAGTGTCCTCCTGTTGATGCTGGTTTGTCAGATCTAAAACATGTCTTCATGAGAGTACAGTGTGACACCACCACCAACTGCGCCATATACCAGCAGAAGCCATGTCCTAATAGCTGTTATCTCATGCTCACACCATGCAGGAGCAAATGCAGCCTCACTTGGAAAGAACTGCTTCCCAGGCCTGACTGGAAGTGCTGGGGGGTCTCCCCCACTCGCTGTTCCAACGTTCATTCAACAGATTGTACTAAGAGCCCACCATGGGTCAAGTACTCTGTAGCAACAGGACACCGCAGTGGACAAGACTGGAACTATTATCATAATGCAGAAGAGGAAGAATCGACAAACAAGGACAAAACTACCAGAAAGAAAACAGAGTGTACGTCTGCTGGAGACCTAGGGAGGCTCCTACTGCTATGGTGACCAACAAGGGCCACTCAGAGGCACATCTGAGCTGAAACCCAGAGAAGAGATCCATCTATGCAGGGGAACTGGAACAGCCCATTACAGCAGGCAGATGCACAAATGTCAAGATCTGGGGATCTGAACTACTGCAGTGCGTGGCTCTTGCCACATTTTCTTATTGCAAATACCATGTCCTCGGGAACTGTCCTTTCCCATGGGCCAGTCACAAGTATTAAACCATGAAGCTCAACAGGCAAGAGAGCAGGTCTCCCACAGTGGGGCATGACGGGAATCTGGTGCAACACGAAGTACAGGCTACACTCAGACGTAGTTGGGGCATTTGAGCCCCAACTCTGCCAGCCACCCTGGTATGCTCCCTGCAAGGCACTCAACATCCTCAAACTTTGTTTCCCTGTGTACAAAGCAGGATTAAAACATAGCACTGCTGTGAACATTCAATATGCTATGTCAGAAAGCAGGGTGACTTTTCTCTCAAGCCAGGTTGTGAGTAGATTTTCCTAGCAGTGTATTAGATATTTCAGAGTAATTACATACATGTTGAAATACATTCTCTCGCATACTTGCTTCAGCAGCACAAATATGAAATATATACTATCTTATTACTAAATATTTTATATCTTCTTTATAGCAGTATTTGAATGCTATGTGAATTTTAATCATGAGAATACATAAACCATAAATTTTGGGACATCTCTCTGGTGACTGCAGTTCTGATACCCACCTTCGCTTATAGTGAATTCACTTGATTATATGTTAACTCCATTGATATTTGAAGCATGTGGCCTTCAATCTCACAGGCATTAACAATGTATCCCAATGCATTTGTTGGGGTATATAACAGAGAAAGAGAGAGAGAGAGAGCAAGAGAAAGGGAGAGAGATGCACTCCCCACAGAAAAGCCAGGAGAAGGAAGCTGAATCCTTTCAGATTGGTCACAGCAACAAAAGGATACAAGATGAGTGACACAGCTACTCATTTTTATGGGTCCAGCGTTAAGAGATGTCTATGCCAATAAATAAACAGCCTAGTTAATCTTGTCTTTCTGATTCAAATGTTAACAGAAGTCACCAACCGGCTACACACCTCGATCTCCCAGAGTGCTTTAGAACTTGTAGCAGATGTGGCCGACTGACGCAAGGTAGTACGAAGGAAAATATGCTGCTTTTTTTCATATTCGTCACAAGTCAGGAACTTTTCTTGTTCTGCATGGAACAATCTGACAACATCACCCTGGAAAGACAGGTCAAGAAACACTGTATTTTCAACAACCATAGGCACAGACCAACAAGGCAGGCAGGAGGCAGGAGTCCCTGGTTTGCAGCCTCTGGGCCCTGTGGAGTCACCTAAGACTCCAGTGAGGATTTACACATTCCAGAATGCAAACAGGGAGACTCAGTGACTCAGAGTGAGTACTAAGGTTTGCACCATATTTCCTTCATAAATTATGGGACACTACTATATACAGGGATATTCATCTAGAATTATAGCATGGCATTCTTTGTTCCTTCCAGCAAATGTCCTGTGTAGACCATACTTACTCCTTTTAACACATCCTCACGGTAGGAACTAAATTTCATGAATAAAGTGATTTTCCAACTAGTGTTGCAATTAACAGCATTCACCTATCAACAAGAAAAAATGATAACGATTGTAAAATGACACATTCCTTTCTATGCCAGAAACGACTATTTCAGAGAGTAAAAGACAACTTTGGATGATGTAAAATACACCTCGATACAAATATCTTGAAAGGATCTCTAAAAATAACAATATCTCATCATTGTCTACAAAGACCTTAGAAATATGAATGTAACTAGGATCATACTTATGAAAACAAAAGAAGCCATGACTATTCTTTCGTTCTCTCTCTTTTCCTCTTCCCATGCCTTCATGACAAGTTCCAACAAGTTCACTGCCTTTCCCGTGGCACTTACCTCCTTGCACCCTGGGTTATCGAGGAGCTCTATGTTGCTGGCATGGAGTGGCTGCCCCGCATTCACCGGCATCAAAACAACTTTATCTCCTACAACAATCTAGAAATGGAAACAAACTGTGATGGAGACTTGACATGGATGTTTGGTGCTCTCTATAGTCACAACCAACTATACAGGAACTCTCATTGCAGACCTGACAGCCCATCCATTTATCTTCTCTGTAAATTTTAGTTCTTAGTCCTCGTTGAACTAAAAGATCTTTTAATAAATAATCACATAATCATGTTCCATGGTGCCTATCAGTCTGGTCCCAATTAAGCTAGTGGAGATCTTCGTCCCTTTCACAGTCCATTCTAGGTCACTGCCCTTCTCAAGGCACAAGATCTTGTCACAAGCACAGAAACAGAATAAATTCGTCTGTCACACACACACAATCAATGAGAGGCAAGTCTGATAAATTTGATACTTTCACAGTCTCAAAGTATTAAACATTTTCCTATCACCTGGATTCAGGAAGTGTGGGATTAGATACAATCTTGAAGAAATATGTGTTTCATTTGAGCTTAGGGTACCTGGTTCCCTCTTTTGAAATCATTCAAAATTCACACAGCTCTTTATACTTACACTTATATTTAAACAAAAAGCAAAGTTGAATATGGGAAAAGTACCCAAGAAGTAAGTCTGAGTGGACGTTCATTCATGTATCATAGCAAGGTCTCCTTACCTTCAAGTATTTTTATTCATGATTCAAATGACGGGGGATTGAAGTGATCCTTTCTTGATGATAACGATGAAGGATTTTTTTAGTACTAAAGTTACATTAGATGTACTTTAGATGAATACAATTTAGTATCTATACTCTCAATTTATAAAACTGCTCACTACCCCAGAAATTAAAACAAATAACTTCCTTTTTCATATAGTAATTCAATCAAGGATTATAATAGATGAGCTTGATCTATAACTAAAAAATGAGGATTCAATCCTAACAATACATGAACCTTGTCCATGTATTTCAATCTAAACTAAAAGCTTAAGAAACATGATTTTACATTTTCAGTATCAGATAACTTTAAGTGGATTATAATATGAAGAGTCTGCATAAAAATATTGTTTTTACAAACTATCCAAAGATTCAAATATAACTAAAAAGCTTCAAGTTCACTAAGTAAAATAGGATTGGCCCTGGGATTGTAGAAATACTGTTTTGTTTTGTTTTGTTTTTTCCTTTATTAAAGGTAGATTCACAGAGAGGAGAGACAGAAAGATTTTCCATCTGTTGGTTCACTCCCCATGTGACCACAACAACCACAGCTGAGTCGATCCAAAGCCAGGAGGCAGGAGCATTCCCTGGGCCTCTCCTAGGGGTGCAGAGTCCCAAGCCCTTGGCCCATCCTCTGCTGCTCTCCCAGGCTACATGCAGTGAGCCAGATGGGAAGTGGAGCAGCAGGGACATTAACCAGCACCCACATGGGATGCAAGCAATTGCAAGGGGAGAATTAGCCAGTGAGCCATTGCACCAGCCTCTTTATACCTTTTTCTTGTTATAGGACTGACCTTTCAAGTGCATAATACACCAAAGAGTGGGACTCAAAGACACTCCACTTACAACAAGGAAAGTTTATCAAGAAACACTGACCCTGGGGATGGGGACAGCATTGGGCCCAGAGGTTAAGATCTGTCTGGACACCTGCATCTTCTCCCAGAGTACCTAGTTTTTCATCCTGGCTCTTCCGCTTCTAATCCAGCTTCCTGCATACCCCTGCATGTAGAAGATGACACAAGTCCTTGAGGCCCTGTCACCCACATGCAAGACCTGGCTTTCATTACCATTCCCAACTTTAGTCCCACCGTACCCCTACACTGTGAGCTTTCAGCGACTCCTCTCTCTCTCCCCCTTTCAAATGAAGAAAAACAAAAACTTTTACAAAAGAAAAACAACATTTTTTTAATGTTTAAAAAGGAAAAAAGCAGAAGCACTAAGAACAAAGAAACAGACCCTCTTCTGGGGCAAAACATGTCTAAAGAAGTAGCTTTAGCAAATGCAGAATTCAGAAATCTTCTCGGAAGAGGGTGATTTCCATCCTGATCCACAACGGACCAAGGGCTTTTAAGGAGCTATGTACTCCATGCCGGGTGGGGGCATTTTCTTCTGTGACTTAGGATCAGTTCCTCGTTCACTTCACTGCTTAAACACCTCATTAAAGCACTGATTCCTTGAGACACTGACACAAGTGTCAGGCTGGGATGAAGCTAAAAATGTGACAAGGATGCCACTTGCCTCTACCTTCCCTCCAAAGTGACCCTGGACGATGAAGGGTCTCACAGAAGGAACCACAACACCAGGGCCCCAAGCCCACCTCTGCTAAAAACTCCAGGCACACCGCTGTTGTTTTTTGTTTTTAAATAATAAGTTTTCCTTGTGAGACTGAAAAAGACCTTTCCCAAAGAGCTGGGATGCTTTTCGTGCTTTAAAGGACATCTGCCCTTTTCACACTTCTAAAATCTACCATCAAAAAGAAGAACCCACCTCTGCTCAAATCAAAATTTAAAATGAAAAATTAACTACTCAGTCCAGGGGATATCAATGAAAATGAAGTATTGGTGCTCTCTGTTCCTGCTAACAATTAAAGAGCAAGCAAAGGCTTTCTATACAACTTAAGTTTGAGTGATCCAATAATTCATTCCACCCCTCCAAAAAAAACACACCCAGTCTATAGTTCTGTTTAAGACATTATCAAGGTGCCCCTGAATCACAGGAAATCACTACTTGTAAGGCTATGAGCACCTCGCTTCCTGGACTATCACCAACATCATTCCTGCATTTCAACTGGGTCACAGATCATCTTGTTGGACACATATAGCCTAAATCATACCTAACTGCTAAATAATTAACCATAAAGCCCTCAAATGAAACATGGCAATCTCCTCCTCTGAAGCTACTATGCTTTTACAGATAAACATCAGTAATTGAACCACGTGCTATGTAGTGACAGTATTTCCAATTCCTTCAACAAAATACAGTGTGTTTCTCTTTTAGAAAAAAAAACGCTGCCTCATCCTGGGGAGGAAAATGAGTGTTAGGATACAGCTGTTCATGGAATCAACATACAAGGTTGTGGATGTGTGGTGCTTTCACAGCAACCTCTAACATACACAAAAACTGCACAAGGGTGAGCAAAACCAGTGAGCTGTTCAGCAGGAAGCAACGTGGAAGGTCGTTTTAAGCCATGCTATACGGAGCACACCTACATAAGAACTTGTCTACCACACTTAACCACACTTAACAGCTACATCATCCGCTTTCACCCACATGGAGGGCTTAGGTGGAGGGGTTTGTTTCTGCAGTACAACTAACTACTTGAAATAGTTCATTACATTCAACTCTCTTGGCTTGGTAAAGTGATTTAGAAGCTGGGAAACGATAGATAGATAGAATGAATATGTGACCAGCTCAGATGAATCTATATAACCCATAGCAAATCCAAGGGTCCCAATATGCCCCAATTTATTCCATCATTTTAGTGCATGAACTCCTGTTTTATTTGGATGTTGATTTCTCATAAGCCACCTGCAGGCAGGGAAACAACACAGTGGAAGGCATGAAGAGGGAGGGAAGCACTGCGAACAAAGGCACAGGATGTCTGCCACAAATTGCATCCCAGCCCCTGGATGACTGAGAGTTGATTGTAACGAACCACCGACTGAAATGGGCATGGGTCATGCTGACAACAAAGGTCACAGGAAGCCAAAACAGAAGAGAATGGGACTTCAGTTTTTCGGGATGAACACTGAGCTGAAGGTGCATCACATTCCTGCATGCCATGCTGTTCCAAACCTTACCTACAGATGATATCACCAATTTATTAACCAAATCATATCATGTAGCTGGCAGCCTGTAGATTTGGTTCTTTAATATTCACTGGAAAAAATAGATTCACTATAAATAGAACACATGTCTAAGACAAGAAATATCCCAAAGCTCATTAAAAGTATACTCGACGTATTGACCAAAAAAAACCATGCCAGAATAATCTTTCAGATCATTCTGAATCCACAAGGTTAATCAACTACTGATCACCTGACTCAATATCTGCAAGGTGTTCTATTTACAAAAGTCACCTGATGCTCAGTGTCAACAGCTTTCACTGAGAATCTCCCAGGTGCTGGGGACTGTCCCCCAACACTCTCATAGACAGGAAAACATCAAGCCAGGAATTCTACCGAATCATTTCTCATCATGGTTCTCTCTATTATATAAAACAGCAGAAAATATTTCAGCAATTATTAAAATTTACATGACAACTTATGTATATTTCATAGTGTATCTTAAATATGCTGAAAAATTTTTTTAAATATTCATCATCAACATGCAGGTGCCAAGCCTCGTACCTGGCACACTGATTAGAACAGATAGTAAGACACTGCTCACTGAGCCACCAAATGGAGCATGGTCACGATTCATGGTGTGACTCTATTCAAAGAGACAAATGCTACTCTGTATAAGTACAGCTGTTTTCCCTAAACTCACACTCCCTCTGGATTTGAAAAGATAGTAAATTCCTTTCCTCCTTCAAAAACCTAAATTACTAATAGGTTTATGTTTAAATTCCTCCACACAAATGGTGATTTTAAATCCACTGGAACTATGTTTAAGTTTACTGAATGAAAGTTGCACTGGTTTCTTTTTTTTTTTTTTTATGTATTTCACCTGTTAAAGATATTAGCATAAAAGCAACATGCTGATTAAGAACTATGATTTTCTTCCTTCTTGGACTTCCTGGATTCTCTCGCCCCTTAAGCATCATGTTTCGTGCGAACGTTTTCCCTCTCCATGTCATGTTCACGTACATTGTCACCCTCACTTCTCAGCTTCCAGAAAGGATGGATGTAGAACCAGGACCCTTCATTCCCAGCAGCATCCAGGGACACTCTCATGGCGTTCTTCTCCAGCAGTGCGGGCAATCGCTTGTTGACAGTCAGATACTTGTTGCTTTTTATATGCAGTAGCTTTGGGGAGGGAAAAGACATGGGTCATCATCTTTATTCCTTGATGTCTTTCCACATACATCACATACCCACATCACATGGCCCAAAGTTACGTTTAAACAGAACTGCCTTCAGACCCTACGTTTCCAGGTGGACTTCGTTTGGATTCTTCCTAACCTCTACTTCCAATTCAGCTTCCTATCAAATTCATTATGTGATGACAAATAACCTACTGTTAACAAGTGGAATAACAAGGCTTCTCAAAGGGGAGAGCTGGAGATTCCTCCAGGTCACTTCTCTCAAGACCTACACAGCCACAATAACACAACACGCTGCTGAAGTAACACATCAACTCAAGAAGTGTGCAGCCCATCTCTGAACAGGTCTCCCAAGCTGTCATTAGACTGGGTCACAACAGGGAGTTGCAGGCCCAGGTCCTCTCCTCTGCTCTGCTGCTCTGAGTGCCATGGGCCCTGGCATTTCTCCACTGGTAAACACCCAAATGCCACAAGAACTATTTTTAAAACTAGCTGGTGAAGTACCTCCTTGTGGCACTGACTGTGAGGAAGCTGTCAAGCTATTGTTTACTCCACAGCATCCTCCTTGGGAACACACTAGACACAAACACTTCTTTAGGCTCGTTTCTGGGAACAGCTGTGCCTCTAGACCTCTGATTTGGCTCCATGTCAGGGACCTCCTTTGCCAGTTCCGTACCTCCCCTTACAGCTATGCAGGCAACAACAGAAAGGCTCTCACTCAGAGCTTACCAGCCCTCATAACACAGCTTTAAATAAACACACCTCACCCCTAACTGCAGCTTGTCCACCCAAGCCCTATTTTCCCTTTGTCCCAGCCACCACAGTTAATTTCTATTTTCTCTTCTAATTCTAATTTCTAATAGAAATTTCTAATTTCTATTTTCTTGTTACACGGTATATCTTTTTGGAAAATGCCTCACATTCTTTTTTAGAACAAGGCAGGGCATAGATTAACAAATAATCAAGTAAAAAGCTAAAAACAAAAAAATCTACATGAAGCACAAGAAAGAAATGTAACAGATAAGTCAGAACTGACATCCCCGTTGGTGTAGAAAAGTGCCAGTACCAACTCAAAGAAATCGCTCTCCACAAGCATGGTTAAAATCTCCCTCTCTGTACAAAACGGAACAAGACTCCTGACATCAAACATAAGCCCCATTCACCTAAAGGTGCATTTATTACAGGCCTTTAGAATAGTACTGCCCATCATCTTCCTTTGGGTGTGATAACTTGCACATATATCCAGATAAGATCCTGGCTTTCCAAAAACACATCAAACTTACTCTTCCACACAGAATATCAACTGAACATATGGCAATTTCTATAATTCCCACCAAAGAACAAATGTGTCAAAATTTTAATCCTGCTTGGCATTCAACACTGCCCATATGGTACTATCCATATGGGTAATGCAGTAAATTATCCATAAAATATTTACCACTTTCAAGAGATAATAAATGGAAACTTACTTGTATGACATTACTGTATTTCACAATTTCTCCCAACAGTTTCTTATTCTCTGATTCATTTTGCTTTTGTTCCAGTTCTGCAGCATGCTGTAAGATGACCACCAAATATTCAGTGAAGAAACAATCAAAAGAGTACAATGACCCCAGAAATGGATAATTTTTCAGGAATGAAGAATATAATCATGAATAAAATATGCCAATTACTTTACTTCTTATGTTTGCAGAGACGGGGAGACAAGGTGAGTAATAATTAGATAAACCAATGAAACGGTCTCTCACTTATGCTTTGCCACAGTCTTTTAGGGAAACACATTATCCACTACAGCAAAGTAAAATACAACCGTATTCAACATTCCTCCTGAGATGACGAACTGGTTTTAAGTTGGATGAGGGGCTTCGGATTAGTGTGGCACACCCTAAGATTTAGCAGCAAGAACGTGACACTGACAATGCCAGGAAACAGGTGGTCACGCCCCACAGCTTAAAACACCCTTCACTCTCAATGTGCTGCGACATCTCTTTTCAATCTCCATGCACTGGGTGAAATCTTCAAATAGGAGAGCAATGTCAGCAGCTTTTGCTAGTGTGGTGCTGGTCCAGTGTAGGTCAGAGAGGGGTGAAGCTAGCCTTTACCTGTAGTTTCTTCAGCAAGGCTGCCTCTGTGTGGTTCCCTTGCTTGGCTTGCTTGGCTTTCCAATACTGCTTCTGGGCAGAATATCGATTCATGGGGCACACCTTGAAAAGGCAGTCTGTGTGAATCCAACAAACAAAAACACATAACTAAGGCTACCAGCGGTTCTTACATTTGTCTGACAGCTTTGAAATCGATGAGTATCAAAAACATGTAAAAGTCAAACACTCCGTTCTCCAGTGAATACTTAGATGCACTCTCTCAGATCCTTTCCAAATAATTACTTACACTCAATTAAAATATTCCTTTTTCATCAATTGAAAACATTTACAGAGTACTAAAGTCAGTGTAATTTATAGATACCAAATCAATATAATTGTTTTGTTCTAAGGCATCTCTTACATATGTTGAGGGACCTGGTGTTTGGAAGTGAACAGACTGAACAGAAGTGAAATGCTGGCATTCCATATCAGAGCACCAGTAAGAAAGCCGGCTGCACATTGCTTCCCATCCAGCTACCTGACAATGTGGCTGCAAAGGCAGAAGACGGCAGCCCCAATGCTTCAGCACGTCACCCACTGTGACCCAGGTGGAACTCACAATTCCTGGCTTCAGCCCCGGCCAAGGCAGCGTCCCAAAAGTGAATCAGGGGCTGTAAGATCTCTTCCTCTACTCTCCCGTCCCAATGCTCTTACTCTGTCACTCTGCCTTTCGAAAAGTAAATAAATCTTTAAGAAAAAGAAAGCAAAGCACACAAGATAACCAAAGATTTTAGTTCTGACCTGACCACTAAATATCAAAACAAGAAATCACTGCCGAAAACCAGAATTAGTGATTTTACAAGTAAAAAACAAAAATATTTCTTTACAATGAGAGAAATAGGACCAAAAACAAAGCTTCCAGATGCCTATAATTTCATATTTCTGTAGGATGGATTGCAATCTAGAATAAAGGTCAACTCATAATATTCTATGATAAAAGAAAATTTTAATATCTACATTGTCTTACAAATATTGTATGAATTCAACATAAAGGATTTATCACATTTGGTGTTAATATTTAGAATTCTCACTTTTCAAGTGTTTATCAAAAAAATAAGATTCAATTAGCTCCAGAATATATTTTAGCCACATTACTGACTATAATATATAATATAAAGCTCATTACTCTTTAAAAATAGATGTAAAATTAGTTAAATCATAAAAGGCTTGACGTTTTTCAAATTTCACTTCATTTTTATGCCTTGTAAATCATAATCAAGAACTAGGACACAGAAATGATCAGATGCTGGGGAGCAAGGAGGCTTGCAGGCCAGATGGAAGTGACACAGTGAGGCGACTGCAGCTCACAACACACAGCACACCAGCCTAGCAACTGAAAGACAGGCTGGTGTCTGACACAATGTGTTAACACCAGCACACAATTATCAGAGCGCCAGTCAAAGCCCTGGTTGCATCATTTACCATCCACAGCCCTGCTAGTGTACCTGGAGAAGCAAATCAAAGTCCAAGTATTTGGGCCCTTGCCACCCACGTGGGAGACCCAGGCAGAGACCTTGGCTCCTGGTTTCACTCTGGCTTATTCATGTTGCTACAGCCATTAGGGTTAAGGGGTGGAGCGTGGTGAGGGAGTTGGAAGAGAGTGGAATCAGTGGATGGAAGCCATTTCTCATCTCTGTCATTTCCTCTCTGTTGCTCTCCCTTCGGAATAAATAAACTCTTGTAAAGAGAGAATTAGGAAAGAGATCCTTGGACATTCCAAACGAAATAAAAAGAAAAGAAATGGAAATAGTAATTGCTTGGACTGGCTTAGCTGTCTGCATATAAGAGTTGAAATATTGCACTGTGCCCCACAAAAACATACAAGAATTCAGAACATTTTTAACAGAATAATGAGTTTAAAGGGGAACAACTATAAGAAATTGGAATTATGCCTTATAAACACAAATTCTATTGACTGTACTTCTCCCACATGTACAAAACTATAGAAAACTAACTCTTAATTTCTAATTTAAAAAGTATGGATATGGATGAGCACGTATTTTATAGCAATACAGGAATCACCACTTGGCACAAGAGTGTGAAAACTAAAACCCACTTCTGGAAAATATCCTTAGCAGTTACATCTGAGGAGCCCTGGAAACCAACTCCAGTAAGTTAGCAGCTACGAGAGGAGTGAGGCCGACATTCTGCAGCACACACACACATCCGATGCAGCAGACTCATTTTCCTCTGCATTCGGCGAGTCAGAAAACCCTGCAGCCCTGTACAGGCAGAAGGGAGCTCCAGAATCCACATTGTGGGTGTCTGACTTCACTCGTGCACAAAACAAAAGAGAAAACTGGCGTTGGGCTCCCTGGCAGCAGGTTCCTCATTAGGGAAGGGGCCTCCGACAGAGCAGCTAGCTTTCCACACTTCCCCATCCCCTCAGAAGCTCTCTTAATTAGCAGCACTGCTAGGTAGTAGCAAACACTGTCAGAGCCAAGCCCTGGGGATCCCTTGGCTGTCACTGAGAGATGGGCCCTCAGCCGGGGAAGGTTCATCCTCACCCCCCTATAGGGGCCCTGTCCTGTACTGCTCCATGTTACAGGCTCATGCCTGATCCTCACAAAGTTGTCTCCCTCCAACGTCACAACTCACAACGTATCTCTTAAGATTCTGTGATGCACAGAAATGCAAGTAGGCAACTTGACCAGGCCCAAGAGGTCAGACACAGCTTCCCAGAGGAGAATAAAGGAGAGGACACAGCCGAATGCCAGAGAACCAGTACGAACATAGTACAAGGCAGGGCCATAGGCCAGCAGAGCCAAGACATGGTGCAAAGACAGAGCAGAAAACCCAGGCTCCCACTACCCGTGCAGGGAAACTGTCCCCTGGGCTGTGAAAAGAACATGGAGAGGCGGGCTGAGTCAGAACCACAGTCCACAGGACCAGAGCCCACAGGGTTGCCTTATAGATTAAGCAGGAATGACTCGCACCACATGGGAAATGCTGAATGTATAAGGGGCTCTATGTTCTTGGAGGATGGGAAAGATGACAAGGGCAAGAAGTGAGACTCAAGAGCCAGCTTGATGAGACAGCAGCAATCCGAACTGGGGTGGCAAAGAATTTTAGGGGAGTCATAGACTTGAAAGAAAGCAGCCTGCCCAAGAGGCTGCATCATCTATTACGTGTGAGGATGGGGAAAGGCATGGAGGGGAAGAAAGACAGCCAAAGAAGGGCCTTGGCTCTGGGAGTTCCAAACCCCTCTCCCAGAGGTGACATACATTGTATAGTAAATGACAATGTGTTTCTGCATAGGAACTGACAGCATGGGCTGTTTCACTGGAAAGAGCAGAGGGTATAAGGAGGTCTTCTACATAAAATCTTCTGTTGGCAGGGTCGTGCATATCTGTGTTCTTTCTCTCTTTGGCCCCTTCAGACACATCAAGAGCTGCTCACATATCTTGTCTGGTTCTATTTAAATGTGCTTCCTCCTAAAAGCGTGAATAACATCCCCACACCTACTCACAGGCTTGTTGACACCCACAAAGAGGTCATGCGTGCGAAACCTCCCCGGGAACTTTCAGGCCTCGTGATAAATATAAGGCATCATGGCGAAGACCGTCTCATCCTTTCAGCAATGGCCTCACCAAGATTGAACGATGACTAAGCCTTCCACAAAGGCCTCCTCAACAAAACCAAGAATTTCCAGATTAAACCTGACTACACACCAAGGGTTCCCAATTAACAGCAAGGGGTCAGCCCTTTGGTGAAAGAGGCAACAAGGTGCCTGCGTCTGGAATTTACAAATTGTCTGCAACCGGATGGCAAGTTGTGCAACCTCCAAACAGCTTTGAACATTGGCAGACACAATCCCCTGCACCCTGATTACCAGCTATCAGGAGGCAAGCAGTTCAGCGACTCAGCTATCTCACTGCTTCCCACATTCAGGGGCCTCCTGGCCCTGCTTCTAGAATCAGCTCCTATACTTGTTGGTCTATTTGGTCTCACAACGACAGGAATGCTAAGGAAAAGGAGTCAACAGTGTTCCAATTAGAAATCCTGTCCTGTCTATATTATGTTTTAATTAGCTTACTGAAACCTCCCCAGCATTTTGCCACTCAAGAATTAGAGGGGGAAAAAAAAGATATTTGCCTTCTAGGGCAAGCCACATAAGTACAAATAAAAGGAAATAATTTGAATGACATTTTTTAAAAGCTCAGCCTTCAGACCTGAGGCCAACAATTATGCAGAAGGAACTACAAAAGTTTGGGAAATGTCAGTAATCCAACAAGACAGAACACATGAAAGCAGGCAACATTAAAAGAATGATGGCTTAAAATTCAAACATTTTTATTTTTGTAACTGTGTTAGGAAATTAAGCCACCCATATGAGACCATCGTCAAATGGAAGGAGTTGGTGGCTTTTTAGCATGCTGACAAATGTGAATGGAGGAGAAAGATACAAAAACTATTCCAGTCAAGTGGCATGGATACAAAATACAGGGCACAGCACACTGTGATATCAAAGAACCAACTTTCCCATGTGATTCTATATAGAACTGGCAGGAAACCACTTTCAATATCCAACTCAACAATTTTGAAATGTTCTGCCCTGTACCGGGAGAATACTTCTGCATCATATTTGTGCAGTTTCTGCACCCTAAAAACTAACTTTAGAACCTCAGGTTTAAGTGATGCCTTAGTAATGGTGGAAAGAAAACTCACTTTCTTATTTCTCCCACATCCTGGGGACAATATCTGGAGATGTAAATGAAGCGAAGCCTATTAAATCCTCAGGCAGCACCTGTCCCTGTGGGAGCTCAACAAAGGACTCCGTGATGGTAGCTTGTAAAATGAGCTCACCCAGACCATAGGCAACAGGGTAACTAAGGACTTTATTACCTCCACGTGGAGAAAGTGGGGAGGGAGAGGCTGTGTGACATTTCTGTTTATAGAGGAAGCCACAGGTTCAAGGACAACAATGGTCTGTGCAACTCAAGAGCAAGCTAGTGTTCTGCGGGAAGTCTCCCCATGGGAGGGACAAGGGGTCCCCAGACACCAGTCATTAAAAGGAAGCCCCACTACCAAAAAGGTACATATCTGTTAGCCCAAACAGCACCAACACTGCTTTCAG